ATTACAATAAAACCAATAAAAGGAAAAAAGATAAAAGATGGCAAGGACAACAGAAGGGGAAATGACTCATATGGGTTATAAGCAGATTGCTTCTGTGAATGTTAATTTTGCTCCATGTCTAATCCACATCTTTGTCCTTCCTGCCTCCGTTTGGGAGTGCTGCTGCCCTTGACCTGCCATTCTGAGGACAAGTATGGCCTTCACGTGAAGATGTTTATCCTCTTTTGTGCAAGACAATAACAAAGAGTTTTCATTGTTTCTCCTTAAGGCTGTTTGATGTTGGGGGTCAGAGATCAGAGCGCAAGAAGTGGATCCACTGTTTTGAGGATGTCACGGCAATCATTTTCTGTGTCGCACTGAGTGGGTATGACCAGGTACTTCATGAAGACGAAACCACGGTGAGTATTTTTCTGGCTGAAAGAATCCCTGAGATACCATGGCTTTTCTATTTCTGTATTTCGTCCATAGCCACCACACAATCAGGGGTCCTTTCTTAATCCCAAAGGATCTAACAATATACTTTATTGCTCACATGTCTTCCTTTGACACAATGGAGATCCCTTATCTACCGATCCATGGTTGGATTTAAGTCTCTCCATTCAGCAGGACGGTCTTAGCCTGGGTAACCACTTCTTGCACTCCCAAAAATTGGTCAAGAATTTGTCTACAAGTCTATCCTTTCTCATTGGTTATATCTGACCAGGTGTCCCTGATGAACAACAGCTTTTTTTAAAAAAAGAACTAAACCCTAAAGGTTTTTATTTTTTATTCCTACTCTGCTGGGAGTGGGAGGGAGGGGAGGAAAGGAGGACCTGAAAGCTAGACTGCTGTCCAAGGTGCTGACAGAAAGGAAATCAAGGAACAGGACAGGTAGAAAAGAAAATGTTTGAAATAAACTGAATATGAACAGATGCCATTGTTGAAGAGAAAGGTTGTGGCTGTTCATCAGAGTCATCAAATTGCTTTTTTCTCCATTGCAAGCATGCATGAAAAGTCAAGACCAGGTTTCAAAATCCTAATGCTAATGAAAAGTGTGAAAGTGGGCATATGTTGAGGAGGTTGTTAATACATAGTAGATAACACTGTCCCAGTCATTTATTAACTAACATTTCTATGGGGATCTACTTCTAATGGCTCAGAATGGTGTGTGTGTGTGTGTAGTATTAAAAACAACACAGCAGTATACAATAGTATGCATTATAATGGCATAACATGTGTAAATGCTAACACCTAACATCCCCAGATGCTCTCTCCCACAGCCACATTTATAATTCTTTACATAAACTCATCTCGATCTTTCCACCAATTCTGTGAATAAATTGCTGCATAGTTTTCATAGGTGCCCCTCATAAGGCATGGAGGGGGAGGGATTGAGAGAGACAGAATGGTCAGACAAAAATGTAATTATTTCATCAAATGTTAGCTTTGTGTGAAGGGCTGGGCCTCAGTTCAGTTATGCCCATCCACACTCCAAAGGAAGCAAAGACAGCTTATATTGAAAACTGTTCCTATTGGAACTTCCGAAAGAGATTTGACTCACTCACTCTTGATCCAAGCACTAGCAACCAGCAACAATGGAATTTTACAGGGGTGGGGTGGGAATGGGAATGGGAATGCAAGGCAGGAATGGTAGAGGAGACATATGAGTGCAAGGAGTCCTTTGCCATCCACACTACACTTGAGATTTAGCACTGAAGATGCTAACTTGCTGGGTAATGAAACGTCTGCAAGAAAACAACCAAGCTCAGAGAACCCAAGGGACTCCAAGATTTCAGATCTGACAGGGCAATCTGTTCACCAGTCTGGGCTTCCATTTCCCCCAAGTTGTGGAGAGAGCGCTTCTGAGCAGAAGGCTGTGAGTAATACCAAGGAAAAGGTGTTGAGCAATGAACCCCTCCTTCCCTCCTGAATGGATTTGGGGGTGGGGGAGAAAAACAGAAAAGTGGGAGAGTTACAGATGATGTCATCAACTGAACCGCACAATATTTTATTTATTTTATTTATAAAATATTTATTTAACCCCTGTGAAATGCAGCATTTGGAACAAGGTGGTTGGGCCATCAAAGCTTTGTCTGGAAACACCCAGATTTTGCAGAAAGAGAAGATGGTTTCTTTGTAATAACTGGTTCATATCAGGAGTTGCAAGATTAAGTAAAATTATTCTGGTCTGAATGGAGGGGACCAGGTTATGGATTATGATGTTTCTATAAATAAATGTACAGAGGATTGTAAATAATTTTTGAACTGGTGAAAATTTAGCCCTTCTGATTCTTATTTTCTTCCTTTTTTATCCTTTTAGGCAGGAAAAGTGGTAGAATTTGAGGTGGGGGCAGAGTGAAGCTAGAGAATCCTCATTTGCTAAGCTCTTATGAATCTGTTGCCTTTTCCTTCTCAGTCACAATTCCTAAGCATGTACTTGGCTGTGAATTTCCAAATCATTTCTTGTTTTACATTGTCAATTTTACTCTGAATTATGCAAAGGTCTCATTCTGGGCTGGCAGATTACCAATGCATTTAACTACCCATTCAAGAAAAATGCACATTGGCAAGTCTTACATTTTCCAGGTGGGGTATCTCCTAGAAGTATTGGGACTACAATTCTTCAACACAGTGGTTTTTCTTTCATATACCTAAGAATGTTGTTACCTTGAATCATCCTGATGTAAAATTTAGGACGTTTCAGGACATTTCAGAAGCTCAAAATGTTAAAAAGCAGACTAAAGCTTGAAAACAAACAACAAATAAACACAATGGAGAGAGAAAAGTTATTAAATGAAGCTTCCGCAATTTTTCTCCCAGGCTTCAACCTGTGAGTCCTTGTATCATAAATCTCTGCCATATAACTGTAGGCCTTGTGGGTTTGATACTGCAAATAGAAACAAATACTTACCTTGCAAGCGAATCTTGGGTATTCCTTCAAGTGGATGGGTTTTAAATGTCAACAGCCCATTCTGCTTCTAACAGAAGTGGTTTCAAGATTCGGCTGCCTGTTTCTAAGCTGGGGGAGAACAGAACAGGGAGCACCAGGCTTGTCCTATAGTCTAAGAGGATTATTAATTTAGGGTCTTTGGATCTTAGAATTAAATGGATTGGATCAAGAGGCAAGTGCAGATGCTTGTACCAAAGGAAAAAAATCACCTGGTGCCTAGCTGGGAAAAAGATTAAGTTGCACTTCTTTGACGTTGTTTTACACTACGTTATACCAGTTGCTTGCATAACATTCTGCAGAACGTATTGTCTCCATGTTACCTATTTTTTCCCTTTCAACTACTAAAGGGTAGAGTTCACAGAAGATGCAAAAGTTGGTTATTGAATTAACTTCCTTTCTGGGTATGCCCAACGCATTGAAGCAACTAACTCAACCCGAGTGGATCATAGTTGATTCACTTCATGAATTCTTTGAAAGATAACTGTGTTTGAACCCTCACTGGAGTGAGGGTTCCTTTGACAGAGCTACACAGCTGTATAACTGTGCAACCCCCAGAGATCCATCTAGCTTCCCCCTGTTGATGTTTAAAAAGTCATGGAAAACATAGCTACGCTCCCATGCCTTGGGGCAGGATGGTGGTTGATCCCCGTCAAATGTTTTATTGTTATTTAGAGTCTTTCTGGGCACTTATGATATGCTCCTTTTTAAATTGTTCCTACTTTTCGGAAGTAAGGCACCAAAGGTCTAAAATGAATGAATGAATGAATGAATGAATGAATGAATGAATGAATGAATGAATGAATATAAATCCAATATGCTAAGCCTTCAAAAAAATTAACCAAGCTGAAAAATAACCATGCATAATGTATTGTGCAAATAGAGCTGCAGTGTTTTTAACTGGCCTGGTTAGCATGCTGTCTGAATTGCCTCTACACTATAATATTTTAAAGTGAAACAGTAATCTGGGAAGAATAACGTCTGCACAATAGTTAGGAAATGCAAGAGTGGAATGAAAGATTCACAGAAGAGCCACTTAATTTATTCTCCAGAAGAACTAGGTAACTCTGTTTCATTTCACTTTCGAAAAGGGGATTAAGGTGTATCTTTTACAGCAGGCTTCCTTGGGAGCCATTCTGAAGTTTGCATGAGATCCAAAAAGGCTGACTAAACTTGCATTTGTTAGTTAAAAGATAATCTTGTTGTACTTTTTTTGCAGGGGGGGTGTTGATGAACAATTGCTTGCAATTATTTTTCTGCTAGCTTTGTAATTTTAGTAAGAAGATAGGGTATAATGATATGAAGACACAAGGGCATGTCTTGTTTTTGATAACCTTGAGTTTTCTGAAACTTTTGCTCACTTTAGGTTTCAAAATATTAGTCTCCTTGGATGGGGTCAGAGACAAACAGAACTTTTGTTTAGGTGACAAGTATATTTATGGGATCAGAAACTCAGCATGGCCAGACCTGATTGTTTCTTGATTCTTGGATGGGACACAACCAGGAAATCCCAGAGCTGTAGAACAGACTGGGAAGTTTTAAAAAAAAGTCCCTTGGTCTTTTGGCAAATATTTCCATACTGTTGTCCAGAAAAAACTGCACAGACATGACCTTGAAGTCCCCTGGAGTCAAGTTTGACTTGGAGGAAGCTTGGTAAATGTAACTGGAGGATTCTAATACCCCACATCCCAAACTGTCAAGCCATAGAAAATATCCAAAGACAGCTGATTAACTCTAATCAATTCTCAGGTTCATGCAAAAGACTGGATCAAATAGTTCATCAATATGAGGAAATGAAATCTTGGAGTAAGAAATTCCACTCTATCTTCTTTTTCCTAGAAAAGTGACTGACTCCAAATGTTGGCTGTGCATTAAATCAACTGGTTGGAGATGGAAAGATAGAGAGATAGAGATAGATGGTGATAGATATATGGTGATAAATAAATAGGGATGAGATAGATAGATAGATAGATAGATAGATAGATAGATAGATAGATAGATAGATAGATAGATAGACAGACAGACAGACAGACAGACAGACAGACAGACAGACAGACAGACAAGAAGGAAAGAGATGCTTAAGTCCAAACAATATATTGGCTGGGAAGTGGGTACCAGTTGCCTGAAAGATCTCTGAGCACCATGTTTGGCCAGGAAGGGCAAATACTGTTTGGCTTGTGCTTCTCAGGGAGTGAAAAATTGAGAGCAAAGTTACATGCTGATAGTGTCCAACAAGATCTGAAAATAGTTAAAACCACCTGGATAAAATTCCAGTATCTTCCTGCCTTCCTGCCTTCCTGCCTTCTCCTTGGTTAGCAGTAGCTAACCAATTCTCATCAAGAGTCTGAAGTGATTCTCAAACTTCAACCCCAATGTTCCTGCCCTCATCTTAAAATACAAAAGGCTTGTGGTGTCCTTTGATCCCTTTACAGTCAGGTAGATGTACTGCTCAAATATGTGGATTGTGGGGGTTAACATGAAATGTGACTTCTGGTTTTGAAAGTTCAAGCATATACATGGTACAAATGACAATATGTATACGTATGCAAACAAACAAAAATTCCTGCAAACAGAACCAAACATCACATAAATATTTGATTGATTGATTATGTGCCATCAAGTTATTGTCAACTTTTAGGGACCACATAGATAGATTTTCTCTGTGATGATCTGTCCCTAACCTGGTCCTTCAGCTCTTCCAATGGCACCCCCGTCGCCACTGTAACCGAGTCTACCCACCTGGCTGCTGGTCATCCTCTTCTTCCTTTCCCCACATAGCTATTTAATGTAAGTAAATACAAGTGTGACAATGCAGATTTGGAAGCTGTTAGTCATTATAGCCATGGGAAACTTCAATTTCCAGTGCTTCTGCAGAACACAAACATCTCAACCTATTTTTGAATGATTCACATATATTATACCAACATTCTCTAGCCTGATGTCTTCCAAATGTATTTGCAAATGTTGCTTTCTTACAATTTTGTGTGTTTATCATACTGCACATTCGGTGGATGCTGGGACTTTAGACAATGGGTGTTGAGGTCGTTGTGCAAAGGATGTGAGTTGTGTGGTTTGTGTGATGATGGTGTCATGATGTGCGTGACTTCTCTTGCTGCCTGCCCCCCATGGCCTGTGGCTCTGCCCATCTGAAGATACCAAGCTGGGATAATCAAAAGCAAGCAAGAAGTTTAAGCCATTTTAGTCCTCTGAGAATATTTTGCAGAAGTTAAACGGGGTTGGACTCAGGCTGTGGAAGAATCAGTGTTTACTGATTAATGGCGGGTCAATTTGCCTAGACTGTGGGACGGGCTAAGAATGGTGCAGGAGCTCTCAAAAGAATCTTGAGCGGTGGCTATAGATGCGGAACTCGTTGACTCCCCTCTCCCCCACTGTACTTACGGCTATAAAAAAGTCTACGGAGGAGATGAATAACTTTGCATAGTGGTTTTTTAACTTTCTAACCTCCAGAACCTCTTTCTCCCATTCCTGCATTTAACTGAAGACTCTGGAGCATGTGGCACAGCACACACTTCATTCACACTCGCCAAGTCTTCTGGATCTCACCATTGTCTCCTTTGAACCCACACTGAGCCTTCGAGCAGGCAATGAGCTCCCCGAAAGCTTTCTATTGTAGGGGAAAGTGGCCCACATTTCTCTCATCTGCACTATCCCTTCTGGTCCTTTACACATCAATGAGCCTCTAGTATGCTTCCAAGGTACCTCATATTCGCTGGAGCTTAATTTTAAAATCTGTGCTTTGAAGGCTGCCTTGAGAAGCCATGGTTGATTTTTTGCAGATGGGAGCGGGGTCGGTGCATTCCAGCTACCTCCTGGAATTTCAGCAGATCTCCAGTCGCCTGAAAAGATCTCTCTTTTTGTGTCTGTCCTCTTTGTCTGGTTAATTACAATTTGTACCAGCCACATTCAGCAGGAACTATGGCACTTGATGAGGGGCCACCCAGGACCAAAAAAAAAACAAAAACACCACCACCCTCTCTGGTCTAATATCTGCTTTGCTTCTCGATAACCCCTATGACTCTTTGGGTTTGCTTCAACCTCCGTTATGGCTGCTACTTTCTGCTATTCCATTTCCACCTTCAGCCTCTCGCTCCAAACTCCAACAGGCTTCTTCACCATCACTTTTCCTGGGCCGACTGATCTTATCTAACAGAACAAAGGCAAAAATAATGAGATTTTGAGAGACCCTCCAAATTTGGCAGGTATGAAGCTTCTCTTGAACTGAGAAAAACCAAAGAGTTGAAAGCAGCTGAAGGACAGGACACCAACAGGCTGATTTTGCTGTGAACAATACTTACCACCATATGCCAAGTACCTTGTTGCTACTTAACTAATGCATTGATTCTTTTTTTTTTAATCACTTAATCACTTTATTCACTCCCATGTATTGTTATTTTGTGCATGCATTCCAGACTAAAACCACATCCCCCTCATTCTTGCATCTGAACTTGCGGCATTATTGGAAAAACAAAAATTACAATCAAATTTAATCTTTCTGCTTGAGGTATGAATTAAGCATTGGCAAAGTAATCAGCTGATAAATATTAGCATTATTCTTAGGTATTGTCTGTTCCCACTTCCTTGTTCTTCCCTTTCCCTCTTTTTGTCTTTCTTCTTCTTCTTTTTTTCCTTTGTGATATGCTTTTGAGCAGACCACCTTCCAAAAAAGAATTATACTAAAACCATCAACTGAAGAATGTCAACATTAAACCAACAAAGTAACAAACATTAAACGAAATAACAAAAGGCCAAAACTCACAGCAAGATTATTGCCCTGAAGCGCCTTCCTCTTGGACTGCTTTCAACTCTGGATTAATTCAAGGATGTCATCCAGCTATCCTTGGTTAATGTCTTCAGCCAAATACTGTCCCACGCAATCAATGATGTTATGGCCAACATGTTACAGATCTATTCTAACAAACCTGCATGACCTGCACTTCAGCTTAAATTTGCAGCCCGTAAGGGCAGCGACAGCAACTCCACTCAGCCTCTGAACTGCATGTGCATGGTGATTTATCTGAGGTGGAACCCTGTTTATATTTTAAAGTGTTATTCACAATATTCAGCTCTATTAAAACAAAAACAAAACCACACACTTCAGTGCTGCTAACTGAAGTTCACAACTATACAAACTGCATCTCTTTGGCTGTGTTCATGCAACACACTTAACGTGGTCATTGAATAGACCCACTTCCTGGGTTTGTATCATGAATTGAAGTATACCCTAATCAAACATATTTGGTTAATTCAACAGCCTAAGCCACAAAAGAAACTGTCCAAGGTTAAAACTAATCCATCTTAGCATCTCCTGTATGTGGTCTTTAAGTGTGTTGTGCAAACCCAGCTGTCATATATGTACACATTTTCCTGTATGTAAATATGGGCTGTATTGCACCCAATGTTGTCTGCTTCCTTTTTAATTTTTTCTTTCTTAATTTTAGAAGCTTCCCTACATGTTGAAGATGGCTTTGTAAGCATCTTGGCCTGACACAGTATCTCCTTTACGTTGCAGAATCGCATGCATGAATCACTGAAGCTGTTTGACAGTATCTGTAACAATAAGTGGTTCACAGATACCTCCATTATCCTGTTCCTCAATAAGAAAGACATCTTTGAAGAGAAGATTAAGAAATCCCCATTAATTATCTGCTTTCCAGATTACACAGGTAAATAAAGCATGTCCTTTCATTTTTTAAAAAGAAATACATGCAGGAAGAATATTTTGTGACTCAGAACTTTTACCCTTTGTTAAGGCAAAAGTTCCCAAACTATGATCCACAAATAAACTAGATGTTCTATCTAAATTGTATTTGAAAAGGTTAGGGGAAAAATCAAGGATATCTAAATATGGCCCTATAGTCGATTAAATCATATTTGGACTGGAGACTCTGAGGTTGTTTTGAAGAGGTTTGGATTACAAACGAGAATTTGGTCTAAATCCAACATGTGCCTAATCTGGGTGCTGTTGCTGTCTAACACCTTTCTCTAAAAAGAAGCATTAGCAAAATAGAAGTCCCCCCCCCCAACTTAGCCTAGGGCCCATGCTTCAGCCTGCAGAACAGAAAAGTTTATTAAGTGTTTTGCTATCATCCCCAGCAATGTTTAAGTGGTTTGTGAGATTAAAAAATGTTTGAGAACCATTGGACTAAAGGAATTGCATCAGTTACTTTTTTTATAGCTCTTTGCTCCAAACAGAATGTACATTTTTATTCAGAATGAGGTGATAGCATAGGATACAATA